AGTGAATTACTAGTTTACACAGGATGATTGCCCAAATAAATAAATTTGAAGTTGAAGAACAACATGGATAAGATGAGGCTGTCTAGAGAGGGAACTAATTTAAAACTTGGAGAGTGAATCTGCACGTGTGATTCTAGGCAGTATTTTCTCTAAATAGTGCCATTATTAATAGGTGAATTAAGGAATTAATGAAATATCTGCCATTTAACATCTCAACTTTGTCTTTTTTTTTTTTTCTTTTGAGGCAGAGTCTCGTTCTGTCACCCAGGCTGGAGTGCAGTGGCGTGATCTCAGTTCACTGCAACCTCTGCCTCCCAGGTTCAAGCAATTCTCCTGCATCAGTCTCCTGAGTAGCTAGGGTTATAGGTGCCTGCCACTGAGTCCAGCTAAGTTTTTTTTAAATGATTATTTATTTTTATTTTTTAAGTGGATATGGGGTTTCACCACATTGGCCAGGCTGGTCTCAAACTCCTGACCTCAGGTGATCTGCCTGCCTCAGGCTCCCAAATTTCTGGGATTACAGGTTTGAACCACCACACTCAGCCTTGTCTTTCTATTTGATCCATGTAAAATTTAATTAAAACCAATTCTGGTTTAATGGGATCTACCCCATCTGCACCCAAGTCTTCTAAACTGGAAAAAAAAATACATCAGAAATAATTGTGTCCTTTATTTGCACAGTACCTTTACACTTACTCTATATATTTAGAGAACTCCAGTTCCCAAAGACCGTTAACATCTGTACTTCCAAAGAGTTGTTTCCAGCCAAGAGACATGTTAATGTCAGTTCTGACTCCCCACACAGAAAGATAGGTATAAGGAAAGAGAATAAAGACAGTAAGACAAGGGCTACTGTAGCCTTGGTAATTGGTTAGCTAGATTAGAGTCTTAAAAATATATAGGAAATGATGCCTATTATCTATATTTTGATTTAGAACAAAGACATACACACATATAATTTTATGTTTTATTTTATTATTTTTGTATTTTTTTAAGTATGAATATGCAAATACAGTAAACTATGTTTATATTTAAGCTATTCAAAATGCAGTGTTAATACCCAGTGGAAAACAGGTAATTTCATTGCTTTCTTTTTGAAGTGCTTTCTTCATTGAATTATCTTGATACTTTAGTATGTATATAAATGTGTACAAATATTATTAAATACATAGCAACATAACTGTGTTCCTCACAACGTGTGCATACAAGAAACAAAAGAGGTGAAAGAGATAGGTCATATCAAATTAGAAAATGAAGCATAGAGTGAAGGGATTTGTGCTTGTAACCTAACAATGATTTGAAAAAAATATATATACCATTAAAGGACATTTTACTAAAATCAAACACCCCTTCGCAATGTAACAGAAAATTAGCAATGTCCTTCCTTGCTGTTAACTTGAAAGGCTGTTAAGAATATAAGAATTACTCTTTTTCACCACCAGGTGGCTCACTTTCTATACCAATGCCTGATCAGAGATGCCACTGTGGCCCCGAGACTAGAGATAATACAATTCCCACTAGAGGGTGTTGAAAGAAGAAAAGCAATTCTTTCAGAGCAGACCTGAAGTCCTGAACAAGGAAACACCTGAACTACAGCTAAGATTTCCTCAGCAGCCTGGGAGACAGAGCGACATCCTGTCTAAATGAAAAAAAGAGAACTGTCTTACAGAGACTGAATAAATGAGGTGATTTTAGAGTAGGGAAATTTAAAACCAGATGGAGACTTGTCTAATAACCATTCTGTGTCCAAGTCCAAAATGTTTGACAGACTTCTCAAATGCATTCATAATGTGAGACGGGTATTTGCAGGGGAGGAAGGTACTGAGAGAGAGAGAAAAGAAAGCAACCTTGAAATAAAACAATAAATCACATTATATAATTTTGATTGAGTTTGGAATTAGAATGGAAAAAAAGTAAGGAAAAGGGGAAAAGAAAATAAGCCAGCAAAGTTGAAAAATGTAATATGGAAAGGAAATTCGCTTTTCTAGATTAGCAAGATTGCTCTTAGCAATTATATTTTCTCTAGTAAACTGCATTTTACTAGAGACTGCATTGTACTTTCTTTGTACTACCTTCTAAACTGCATTTTACTAGAGAAAATATAATAGGCCAGTAGCCATAGAAGCTTGTAACATTATCCAATGTATTGCTATAAAAAAACCTTACCATCTGGATCCTAATTCTCCTCAATATTTAAACTGTGCAGCATTTTCTTCTCTTCATCCTGATTTATAGCTATCACTCAATGCAGCCCTGAAGGGTGCATGCAATGTGCCATTGTTAGAGCTAGTGTATAATCCAAGGTAATTTGGGGAAAATCACCTTAAGAGTATAACTACATGGTTTCCTCAGTATTCGGCACCTGTTTGCATTTCACAAAAGCTTATAGGTTTTCTTCTTCGTTTTTTTTTTCTTTCCTTGCTTTTGCGTTGGTAAGCATTGGTCTGCAACGTCACCATGCATATGTAGAAATGCCTGGGACGGCACCATCAATCCTACCCCACAGATTGGTAAGAACTGAAAGGTATGTGACCTAACAGCACTGAACATTGTTGATAACCCACTTCTTTGGCTTAATCCATAATATTTATTCATTACCTTTATTTTAATAAAATTCTCAAAATACCAATTCACCAAGATGCCCAGGAATGGTTGTCAGATGTAGGAGGAACAAAATTGTGTAAAGACTAAGAAGGCTGGCGACTAGGAGCCAGAACAATGACAGAAGAGTCATCACCTCTGGCTGTAAGCAAAATGAAATTGATTCCCTCTCAGAAAAGACGGCTTTGAATGGTGATCTATAATGTGCATATAATTGGCTAACTCTTTAACCTACCTCACAAATCTGTTCACCTGGGGAGAAAGGTGAGTGAGGAAGACCAAGAAGGAGAAAGCTCACCCAACAACTTAATTAAATTACATTTCACTTCCACAGCAGGCCTGGTTAAGATTACATCTTTGGATCTTTTAGGTTGCTGGCTGAGTTGGACATCTTTGGCAAAACATAAACAAATAGAGAGTATTCTCTGTATTCTCTCTCTCTCCAAGATTCCACTCTAAGTGCACACCATCCACCCAACATGAAAAAAAGAATTATGTGTCCTCTGTCTCCTTCGCTCCTTCTGATCTCTCTATTTTACTAGGAGCAATATCAGCTGAGCCATCAGCTGCCACAGCACCATGGAGAGAGTAATATAAGCAGGTCTATGGCAAGTTTGACTGTGAATTAAAGTGTGAAGTAACAAAAAGTAAAGTTGTGCTCTCTTTGTGTGTTTGTTGTTGTGTGGCAGACTAGAGAATCTATTTTCTCAAAATACTTTATGAATATTCAATGTAGAAACTACAAATACTATGGAAGCTAAAGGCAATACCAGACAATATACATTAAATATTTGTTAGAGAGTGAAAGTCCCTATTGGATGCTGCAGAGTGATCACTTGCATTAAATATTAATGACAAGTAAAGAAGGTAACTGTTCTTTCTTTGTACTACCTTCTAAAGAGGCAGCAGACAACCTGTGTGTATGGTCTTTTTGCTCAAAGGATAGGTCCCTGGAGTTATCAGAGAAAGTACCTGGATGTTTGAGCTTGAAAATTCCTGACCCCAGGTGATAACTTCTCTTTTAAGCATACATCTAGATCTGCCCGAAAGTTGTGTGTCATGCTTCTCCATCAGAACTGAGGTCATCCCCATCAAAACAGCATGCCACAGCTCAAAGGCACTTCCCAGAAGAGTAATGAAAAGAGACTAATGTTTTTAAAAGTGTACTACACATACAAAGTGATGCTTGTAAAAACAGTCACAAAAACTGTGTCTTCTGATTCTCTGCTTACCACAGACTTCACTCTTGGTGCTATATTCTGCAATAACCCAGAGGCACCATGAGCCTGACTTGTGTTTGGGACTCATCTTCTGAACAGCATTTTCTTTATGATCATTTCAATTCAATTGGATAAATTATGGTTATCAGTCTCTCGTAAAACTTCTTGTGAAATTATGTATATGAAACAATTAAAATGAATATTAAAGGGTGAAGACATTAAGTTGTTGAAATTTTTCTTTATTAACTTTTTTACTCTGAAATTGGCTAAAAAATATGTACAGTCAAGGAATATTCGGGGTGATAATTTATGCAGATTAGTATCACTAAAACAAGTAGACTCAAATCAATAAGCTACAGTTTTCTTTGGAGTTTTATAAATACAGATCTGTTAACTAAGAAACCTCTAAATTCACAACTAGATTCTAGCTCATTTTAGTAGAAGAAATCCTCTCCAGTTAATTATTTCTGTCCATTAATCACTTTACCCACCTCACCACAAGAGTGAGTTATAGCAAACAAATATTTTCCCTCTTCAAATCCACATCATCCATATATGTATAAGAGCTCTAAAAGATGAAAAGACATTTGATTCCTAGCTTTCCTTGACAAATACAGCAATTTGCATGAATATTAAACTTCTGTGATTCAGCAACTTTCACTCCTGTCTATATCACCGAATGTTAAATGCCAAAGAAGAGTTTGAATCCATAGCTCCCACCACTTGGCTTTTATTTTACAAGACTGAGGTATGTTTTTCCCAGGAGAAGAAGAGCATTTAAAGGTCTTTAAATTACACATGCTGAGTTGCATAACAATTGTCAACTAACTGAAAAGGTTAGAAGCGCACGCTTATGCTAAATGTGAAGTTGCCTATGAATCACAAAATGAGGCTGTCTCATTATCTGCAGAATATTTCTAAGGGTTGGGAGAGAGAAGTAGAGTTACCCGTCTGCACTAAAACTTCTTTAATCAGAAGAATCCTGCTAAACTATCAAGCCCTTACTGTTCTGCTTCTTTAGCAAAAAAAAAAAAAAAAAAGACTTTCTCAGTTAAAGTAAACGCTGTGATTGAGAAGGTTTTCCCACGCCTAAAACAAGAAATGGCAAGAGCCTACCTGAAAGTAGATTGTGAGGTAGCTGGCACATTAGGAAAGAAAGCGACTAGGAAGCAGTCTTACCTTCAGTGTGAAGCAACCTCCTCACCAGGCAGGCTGGCTTTTGGAAGAGTATGCCCTCTTGCCAGGGCTGGCGAAGCAGCTGGGAAGAAGTGGGCTGTCTGCCACTAGCTGTGACAGCTGCGTGTTACCAGTCCCTCAGATACTGGACTCTAGCGCTCCTCCAACAAATCAGGCAGTGGCCGCTTGTACCTCAGCAGAGGAAGCTGGGACTGCAGTTGCTAACGCTGCCTCACTTGAGGGGAAAGCACTGGTGTGTGTGTGTGTGTGTGTGTGTGTGTGTGTGTGTGTGTGTGTGTGTGTGTGTGTGTGTGTGTCGCGCATACACTAACTGCCAGCTCTAGGCTGTGCCGATGTGTTCTGCATACTCAAACTGCTCCTGCCAAGAGGAGTCTCCTCCACACAGACCCCAGCCTCCCCGCTGAGGAATCACAGTCCGCTGACCTTGCTGCTGGGGAATCTGGCTGAACGGCTCACTCATCAATAGATTCAACAATCAATCAAATAAAAGAGATTGGATCAGCATCAGATAGGGACAAGTGCTTCCCCCATGAGCACTGAAATTTTTTAAAAAGATATCTCTATTCAACATTTTATATTTAGAATTGATTTTTTCTTCTCTTTAAGCCATGATGTCTTGAACACAAAGTCTAATTGATGAGCCCCTAAGTTAAAACTTTTCAAGTTGTTTTCCCAGGCAGGATGAAATCTTATCTAGAAGCCAATTCAAAACATTTATTCCAGAGACCTGTCAGATGCAGACTTGAACTTATAACAATCAAGTTATGATGAATCAGGCTAATGAACTGCTTCTAAAACCAGGGATTTCATGTCACCATACATAGCAGAAATGTTTGGAACCACAGATAAAATCTATGTTTGAATCCAACCTCAGTTTTCTTTAACATTAATCCAACGAAAATTATGAGGAAATCCCTGTGCTGAGTGCTGTGCTAATAATTATATGAATTTCTTTATAAGACACACTACCATTATTAAGTACATAATCTTGAGCCAGTCATTTAAATTTATTGTTCTTTAACTTTTTCATCAGTAAAATTGTAGGTGTTTCTATGATGAGTCATTTATTTAAAAGTACACATGAAAATGATTTGTAAACTATAAAAGGTTAATTGTACATTACAGATTTTTTTTAATTGCCATAAAGAATGTGCAATGCTCTATGAGACATAAATGAAGCTCTTCAGGGTCTATACACTAAATGATATTAGAAAGTTTCATTGCTGAGCTCTCAGTTAATACCTGTGATTTCAAAGTCTAGAGCTGACCCACCTGAAAAGCCAGAAAAGAACTTATGCACCCCCTTACCATGTTTTTTCTCTGAAAAATAAATAAATAAATAAAATAAACAACAAGAAAAAGGAATCCTGGAAAACTAAGATGAAATTTTCTTCTCTGAAATTAGGGTCGCAATATTATGCCAAACTCAAATCCCAGAAACACAATGTAGTGGGAAAGAGCAGAAATGGGAATCAAGACACTTGGTGTCAATCTGAGATCCATCACCACGTCCTTTAACATTGTCTATAATAGTGATGATGGTAATAACCACCACTGCCACCAAAACAAGCACACACTGGAAGCCAACATTTACAGAGTGCTTACTACCAGGCAGGATTGTTTTAGGCATCCTGCATGTATTAACATTTTTACTCCTCACAACAGCATCATGAGGTAGATAATATTATCATCTTCATTTTGCAGATTAGGGTAACAATGCATAGAGGAGGAAAGTTAATGTCTAACAAGCTTGCCATGGCTCTCTTTTATTAATTGAGGGAACTATGGTAACTATTTACATTTTTAAAACTTTTTACCTGGAAACCATTCTAAGCATACAAAAAAATTGCAAGAATAATAATAAAAATACCTTCTATGCCCTTTTATCAGATTTATTTATTAGTAACATTTCCTCCATTTACTTGATCATTTGATATATAGGGTGAAAGTGAGAAACTTGAGCTATTTGAACATAATATGCATATATTATGCCCCTTTACTAATTATTTCAGTGTACATTTCATTAGAATGGAGGTATTGCACTACATAACCAAATAGTTTTATAAACATCAGTAAATTTAACAGTGATATAAGTTTAATTTATTGTCCATTTTCCAATTGGTCATTTAAACCAATAATGGGCTTCAGAGCACTTTTTTCTTTAGAAGCGTTTCCAAAATATCGTATGTAGTTGTCATGTATTTTTGGTCTCCTTTAAAATATGAGAATTAAAATTTGTCTTTTACTTTATGACATTTTTGAATGACACCATTGAGAATGCATTTATCTCTTTTTTAATAAGCATTTCTAATTTTCCATTTGTATCATGTTTCTTAATGACTGGATTCAGGTTATGCATTTTCAGACAGAATACTGCAAAATTGTTGTTGTGTTTCTCTCAGACTCTCATATATGAAGGCGTACAAAGTCCATCTATACTCATTGGTTCTGTAAATTCTGATAACATAATCATATGCTTGTTTTTATTTTTACACCATATAAATACTTTTTTTTCTCTTTTAACTATTAAGTGACCTGTAGGAAAACACTTTAAGGTCATGCAAATATCTGTACCTAGGATTTCAGAGTCTACAGGTGACCCATCCGAAAAGCCAGAGGATAACTTATGCACCCATCTATAATGTCCTATCTCTACAAAAAGCTGAAAATCTAAGATGACATTTCCTTCCCTCAAATCAAAGTCTTCCATTAGCAATATCAGACCAAATTCAAATCGAGAAATACAATGTGGTGGAAAAGGGCAGAAATTGGAATCATAGTTTCCCATTATATTTACAATTAATTGATAATATGATGCTTGCAAAATAATAATTTTCCAACTCAAATTCTCTCCACATCCATAGGACACTACATATTCCATTGTTAAGAAGATCCCTCCATTTTCTGATACTCTCTCCTCTCTTTCTCTTGCTTTCTCTTCTCTCTGGCTTTCTCCCTCTCTGTTTTTTTCTCCTTGATCAGAAAGGATTCATGGATTGCAAATGTTAAAATAATAATCAATGCCCATTCTACACAATCTCTTTCAGAAAAACAGAAGAGGATAGAACACCCCCAATCTATTTTGTAAGGTTAGAATTACCCTGACACCAAACCAGATAAAGGAAACACATACACACAAAAATCCCTACAGACTGTTGTCCCACATAAAGATAGACATAAAAATTATATATATACATATACCATTATATGTTCCCCAGAAATAAAAATGCATTATTGATACATGCAACAGGTTAGATGATTACCCAAAACATAATGATCAATTTGGAGCTTATTCTTGCACATGGTATGAGGAATACATCTAATTAGATATATTGTTCCAAATAACTTTTCAGTTGTCCCAACAATGATTAAAAATGCAATCTTTGCCCAGTGATTTCAAATGGAGATTCATTATATAATGTATTTATAAACATGGTTGGTCTATTTTTGGACTTTCTATTTTATTGCATCAGTCAGTCTGTCTTTCTATTCAAACACCAATACTACACTGTTTTTCTTATAAATATAATGTGTTTTAATATCTATGAGGTTTAATCATTCCTTATAGCTCTTTCTTTTCAGCATTTCTACAGTAAATTTATGTGTTTATTTTTTCATATAAACTGTAAGATGTTTAGCTCTATAAAATTCTCATTACAATTTTTTTGTTAAGTCACATTAAATTTATAAGTACACTTAGGAAGACCTAAATCTTTATAATATAAAATTATCGTAACTATGAAGAAGGGATGTCTTTCTCTTTCTCCAAGTCTACATGTGTGATGTTCAGGGGTGTTTTATAGTGTTCTCCATTTAATATAGTTTTTGTTAACTTTATTTATAAGTGTTTTATATTTTTGTTGCTTTGCTTTGGAATTATTTTATCAATTTTACTACCTAATTGGTTCTTATTTGTGAATAGGAATTCTATCCATTTTTGGGTGTTAATATAGTACCCCACTACCTTATTGAAGTCATTTTTGAGATGATTTTTATTATTGATTCCCAAAGCTTTTCCAGGTATACTATCATGCAACCTGTAAATTGAGTTAATTCTATTTATTCTTTCTCAATTTTTATATTTTTAGTTTTTTTATTGCTTGTTTTATTTTTAAATCATGGGTGTTTTTAGGATTTTACATTCTAGCACAAGGCTGGTATTAAGACTCTCTCTCTTTACATATATATATAGAGAGAGAGAGTGCATTATTTATACATATAATATGAATGATTTATTATTTGTTATGCTGAATTATGTTGAAGCCTTTTCCATCAACCATATGGATATCATGTAAATTACAGTGAATTATATTAATAGATTTTCAATATAATAAACAATCATTGCATTCTTGGTATAATTTATAACGCACTATTTTCTCATATGGTTTGGATATTTGTCCCTTCCAAATCTCATGTTGAAATGTAATCCCCACTGTTGGAGGTGGGGCCTGGTGTGAGGTGTTTGTCTCATGGGGTGAATCCCTCACGAATGGCTTAGTGCTATCCCCTGGCGATGAGTGAGTTCATGTGAGAGCAAGTTGTTTAAAGGTGCATGGCACTGTTCCTCTACTGCTTACTCCTGCTCTCGCTATGTGATATGCTAGCTCCCTTTTGCATTCTGCTATGATCGTGAGCTGTTTGAGGTCCTTACCAGGAGTCGAACAGATGCTGATGAATGTATGGCATGCAGAACTGTGAACAAAATTATATCATTTTTTAAGATGAATTACAGAGCCTCAAGTATTTCTTCATAGCAATGCAAGAATTGCCTAACACGTTTTTTACCGTGTTCAAATGTGTCTGCTAATAATTTATTTAAGATTTTTAAATTTCTAAGGGACATTCATCTATGTACAAAGGTTACTGTTATCAGACTTGGGTATCAATGCAATATCTGCATCATAAAAAGAAACTGGAAGTTTCCTCTTATTTTCTGTGCTCTGAGATAATTTATGTAGCATTTGTATTATCTGGGCTTGAAATGTTTTTAAGGTTTTCCTGTGAAAACTACACTGTTTTTTCCTCTGTGGAAACCTAGTGGTTTTTTAAGTAGTTCCTTGATAATTTTATGCGTTTGTCATCTGAATACTGATCTGTTTATGCCTCACCACTACTGCAGTTAATTTAATAAATAGTATTTTTCTAAGAAATAATCTATTTTCTAGGTTTTCAAATGTGTTTTTATGTATGTGTATGTTCACTTATTGTTTTCCAATTCTTCCTTATCAAAAGTTAAGTCTACTTTTGTGTTTCCTACTTTTTCATGATTAGATTTACATCCTGTGTGATCTTAAAGAAATACAATTTTAATTTATTAATTTGATTTATTTTTTTCTATCCTTTGCCTCATCAGTTTTAGTTTTTATCTTCATTTTTTCTTCAGTATACTTCTGTTTGGTTCACTTTTTGTTACTAGTTTTATGAGTTAAAATTTTAACATATTTATTCTTATTTTATTATTGTGCGCATGTAAAATTAGTTCTAATTGCTACTTTAAATAAAGTCCATAAATTTTGATATG